CACAGATAGCCCATTGTGTAGCTTTGTGCTTAATTCCAAACAAACAAAATTTTATTTACTGAAACCTATTAAGTTTTAAAGGAATAATGTTCGTTTTACTTTCGACACTTTCAGAAATGTACTTCAAAGTAGTGATTCTTGTAAATAAACCTCTTATCCTGCTGCTTCAACAAAGCTTTTAGTAGCTATTTGCATTAAGAAAATATAAATAAAATAAGCAGGGAAACATTCGAAGTCAGGTTATTTCATTAACAAATAAGCAAGTAGCAAATTAGAAATGTTTTTTTTTTGTACTTCTTGATTGACTCACCTAAGTATTTTCTTATGGATATAACACCTAAACGTAACGTAGATATTTCTGCATGGAAATTGAAAAATTTACCTAAAAATGTATTCTAATTTAATCATTGAATGGTGAAATTAGTGATTGTAGTTATGATAAATGTGACACACACACACACACACTAAAGTTAATCAAAGTTTACACATATTTAGTCCTTATTTTGTACTAATATGTGCTGCAATTTCCAGAACTTGTTGTGCACCACAACTAGGTTTATAGACTGTTCCATAAGTATAATTGTAATGCAGCATACATTCTGGAATTTCAGGCATAAAATAGCACAACACCAGCACTACACACATAATTGCAAAAATAAGTCTGTTAAGTAAAGTGTATTTTGTACTGATTTGTGCTGCAAGTTCCAAAATTTGTTGTGCGCCACAACTAGACTTATGGAGAGATACTGTTCCATAAGTCTAATTATAATGTGTCATACATTCTGGAATTTCCCGCATAAAATAGCATAACATCAGCACTAAATATGTGCAACGTTTCGTTAACTTTAGAGTTGGTGGGGAAAGGGGAATTCAGGGACCGTCTTTTGCTACGAGCGATAGTTAGAAATATTTGTTTAGTAAAATTAGAAACCTTTGTACCGTTATAAATGTCTAACAATTGTTTTTAAATTCCTTGTATGGGAAAATATTTACAAACATAATTGCAAAAATAAGTCTGTTAAGTAAGGTGTATACCAACACAAGCATATGTTCTGTTTTATCAACCATCATATTATACGGATGTAATGCCTAAAGTTTGCACTCAATTTTTTTTTTTTCACTACAGTCACTACAAAGAGAAAATCCATTGAATAATATTGCTTACTTTTATTGTCAAACATCTCACGTTTTTAATATGGTTGTGAAGATACATTTATTGATTAGAATTTGTCAGATCAAAATCAGGAGACGTTAGACATTTCTTGTATTTAAAATATGAAATGCAAATTTCTTAAAACTCTATAAATATCCATCACGTGGAGCTAGAAATAAAAATCGAATGAATTATCCATAAACTCTATGATTTGCTGTTTCGTGGAGGCATTGCGCTCAAAGCAATCGAGCTTGATACAAAATACCCTTTCCACTCCTATTTCTTCCTTGTCCTTTAAAAAATGTTAAGAAATTTAACCAGCTGTGTTTTTACGTCTAATTGCAAAATACTGAATAGTTACCAGAGACTTTATATCTAAAATACTGAATAGTTACCACAGAAATTATATCTAAAATATTAAATAGTTACTACAGAAATAATATCTAAAATACTGAATAGTTACCACAGAAATTATATCTAAAATATTAAATAGTTACTACAGAAATAATATCTAAAATACTGAATAGTTACCACAGAAATTATATCTAAAATATTAAATAGTTACTACAGAAATAATATCTAAAATACTGAATAGTTACCACAGAAATTATATCTAAAATATTAAATAGTCACCACAGAAATAATATCTAAAGTACTGAATAGTTACCACAGAAATTATATCTAAAATATTAAATAGTTACCACAGAAATAATATCTAACATACTGAATAGTTACTACAGAAATAATATCTAACATACTGAATAGTTAGTTACCACAGAAATTAAATCTAAAATGGAAGTAAACAGGACAATTGGATATCAGTGATTTTTTTAAATGAATGGGTCAGAAATTCGATGTTCAATCTTTAAAAGGAAGTTTCACCTTTCTCTAACAACGAGCGCTTATTCACTATATTCTTCTAAAAATTAACTTCCTGTGTGTTCTCGGAAAAACAAATGTTAACAGTACGTAATATAAACTGCTTGTTCATTTGTTCTTTGCGTTAACTAAAATCTCAACGATAGACTTTCAAGCTAATAATCAATAATTAGGTCAAATCACGATCTAATCCGTAGGCCCACAATTGAAACCAACCCAGAAACGTTCAAAATCTTCACTTTTGATTTCTCATTGCTTACTTTAGCATAGTTTTAATATATTAAAGGGTTGTTTGTTTGTTGGGTTACACCCAAAGTTACATGAAGGCTATATGCACTCGTTAGCAAATTTCTAATTGTATTTTGAGATAGATAATACAACTTTGTACTTCTCGCAAAATTTCTAATCTATGAGATTATGCCCATTTAAGACTTTTCTACCGTTGTCGTAAATACACTGCACAAAACAGTTAAAGGCCCCACAGTGGCACAGCGGTATGCCTGCGGACTTACAACGCTAGAAACCGGTTTTCGATACCCGTGGTGGGAAGAGCACAGAGAGCCCATTGTGTAGCTTCGTGCTTAATTCTGAACAAACAAACAAACATGTAATGAGTAACTATAATCTACAATAGCGTAGCTATGACAAAACAAAACTACCATCAAGAAGTATCTAAAATATGCCGTTCAGTTGATTTTTAGGCAAATCGGGTATTAGATGTTCCTCGTGTGCAGTGTAGTCACCACAACCAACAAAGACAGCCTGACATCGATGCATGTCTATTTTGAGGTTTGCTCGATCAGGAAGTACTGTCTTCAGAACATGTTTTATGTTGGTTCACTTGGTAGAAAGCATTGCGTCTCACGAGAGTATCACGCACACCTACTCAATGGGATTGAAGGTCGGTGAGAGTGAAATATGCCGAATAGCTTAGTATAATGAAGGCGAACATTATTATCCATCAGGTTAAATCAAAACCAATTGCACTAGCATATGGTAGCACAAAGGGAACAGAAGTGGATACTGTAATGTGTGGTTTTAATTGTGTCATTCGATATCTTTACCACTGGCAAATGTGTCATGTTCCTGTATGAAAGTAGAGTTCGATTTGGTTCCAGATCATCATATGGCGCCTACTGTATTGTCTGGCATACATCTCGCTCTTGTGAACTCTGTTTCTGGTATTTCGTCCACTTATAGTTCCGAACATTTGACTTAATCTCGATTCGAGTATATTAAGCTTGTGGCAAGCCAAAATGGTAGATAACAGTTGTTTCGTAGATGGTGGTCTGCAAAGGCTAGCAAAGGTTTTCGCACTATATGTGGCATTTATTTCGTGAGCTTCACAAGAATGACTAGAACAGTATATGTGTGCATCATTCGCTATGTAGGCCTACAGAATACTGGGATAAAATTTTCTAGAAATTCAGTCCTACTAGCCATCTTCTTCATATTAATGCAATTTTTTTATATATTATCTAACCAGTATTTAGGGGTCTCGAAAGTCTGGGCCATACTCAAGAACCCCTGAAAGTTTCTCGGTGAGTATTTGGGAAGTAGGCGCTAAGGCAGTAGCAAGAAGGAAAACTGAAATAAATGGCTGTCAAACTCATCACAATAAGAAAATCAATAAAGTAAGCGGTTTTGGAATCCCTCTGGGTTTCATGGTGGTCAGAAGTCGAGAAGTTGAGAACTATATGTCAATAGCAGATAGATATACAAACACAGACCGCTTTGTAATATAGATTTGGAAGCGATTCCGCATTCTGCTATAACAATTTGAGAGACTTGTAGCTATTCCGCAACAGATGCTGTAAATGCAATTAGAAGTTTCAATATGAACGCACTTTCTGTGCACGTGGGCTAAATATCTAGGTCAGGGACATCTACCATTCAGGTTAAACCCTAATTTGAACTAATGAGCAGAGAGAAGGCAGCCAGCCAGCAGTATCCACCACCACAAGCTTTTTGTATGGTTTCTTTGAAACAAATAAAAATATTGATTGTGACTTTTATACGTGTGGAGCGTGCTTAGCAGCATCACGTCTCGAGCTCCAGAAGCTTTGACCTGCAACCCCACAGATTAACCACACCAGGCTCACTATAATTGGCTGTCTTCCATTCGTCCAATGGCTCTCCATAAAAGTGATACATCCAAATATCTTCTTTGAGATCTTATCATAGTTTGTGAATAGAGTGGAATACTTTAAACCCTGTATTTCACCTCAACGTTTCAGATAAAAGAAACTAATGAGAACACTTTAGGTAGTGCAGACTGAATGACCAATCAAGTGTTTTTCAGATAATACGACTAATTTTCAGATGTTTGATTTTGATAAAAGTAAACAGAGTGTGTGTGTGTATCTAACAAAATTTTATAAGAGTGACTTCGCTTTGAAATAATTAGATCGAAATTCGAACTATCCTTTTTGTGTGTGTGTGCAATATGTATAAGTACCTGTTTCATTGATTGCAAAGATCGGTTTCAGCCATGAAATATGAACATATTAGAAGAAATATATGAACAAAACTAAAAAGCCAAACACAAATATCAGTTTTATGACACAAAAAAAGGGTACAATGCGCGCTTTATTTCAACAAAATTCTCTGTTAGTTGAGGCTCTTTGTAAAACTGGAGCAAAAGAAAAAAGTATATGTTTTTGGTTGTGAGGTGAATTTATTTCGTATTTTTTATCAATGTATGTTCATTACATTTCCCTAGTCGGTTCTTCATGCTACATCAGGGAGCAAGAATGGGAAGATGGATATTTTGGCCACTCTTCACCAGCAGCACTCTATGGCTGGGCAGGGTGCCCTCACAAAAAAGCAGGGCGTATCTGGAGAGAGCGCTCGCACTCGAACTCATGCTGAGAACTACTGTATCCAGAGCCACGAGAAGGACTTTCGGTATGTTTTCCTTTCTAGATATAATATAATCTTGCACATTAGTCCTAGAAATTCATTAGAAAGAAACCACGATGAACTGAAAATATCAAGTGTTTACAAGTACTCACGAAGTTCCTGACATTGTATACTCTAGTTGTAGGTAATAGCCCTGAAGAGCACTGTAATAAGTATATCGTTAAAATGTAAGTAATTCAATAGTGTGGTAAATCAATAAAAACCTAATAAATTCTCTATTATAATACATCTTTGAAATGAGATTCCCTCCCCCCCCCCACAAAAAAAAAGGAAGGGATCCTACATAGGTGGTACAAAATCTTAGATACGGGTTGCTTCTTCTCAGTGGAATAATATTTTATTTTATTTTACGATCTTAATCCCAACTAGCATGTGGTCGGCCGGTATTGTTGTAAACCAAAAATTTTTACACCCCGAGTAGCTGGCTCAGTCACAACAATATCAGCCGACCACAAACCAAGAATTATTACACCCCGAGTAGCTGGCTCAGTCGGCAACCATATAGGACGAACATTTTCGGTGATGGGAATTCAAACTCGCGACCCTCGTATTACGGGTCGAGCGCCCTAACCACCAGGCCATGCCAGGCCCATATTTCAAAATAATAACTATTAAGATCGCATATACATAATCATTTTGTATAATTTCCCCCAAAAGTGGTAAATAAAATAAAATTTGAGTTTGTTCCCTATCACCTATTTCTGCCATTTACGTTTGTTACATTCTTAGCTAATTAAAATGTGACACACGTTTATAGCTGCACTTCTTAACTCCGAATGCTGGGGAGTAAATATATATTTTTCTTCTTTGTTATGGTAAATGGCAAAGCTTAGCAGTTAGCATGCTTGGACTGTAAACCCGAGAATTCGTGGCATATGTCCTTTTGCTACAAAAACCAACTCCACACTGTGTGGCCTTGGTTGCATCATAAAAGTAACGTTCATATCCAATTATTCGGTCAGACAAGACTAGTACAAGAACTAGCTGTCGATGCTGTTGAGTTGCTGCTTTCTAGATAGTTTATCAGTTCAAAATTAGACACGATTGTGCGCAATAATTGTAAAACAAAAAACTTCTAATTACATATATATCTGTAAACAAATGCAGAAGCTATATATATATATATATTTAAACTATACTGTGTAGTACAACTCAGTGTTTTTCCACAAAAACCATTAATGAATAAAGAAACTCCGAAGAGTTCAAATTACGAACATTTCTCACAACTAAGTGATGAGTTTTAGACCACCCTAATTCTATCTCTCTACTATATCACTGAATACAATGTTGGAGTTTCCAAAACATTTACATGTTGTCAATTCCACAACATTAAATCTGTTGATATAATGTGGTGATCACAACCACCAGTAAGTCTACGATAACTATATATATATATATACAGTACTTCACCCGTACATTTCACTTCCGTCAGTTACTGCAAGATTGCAAAACAAGGCAATGACTACTAAATGCGACTTCCGGTAAATGAAAGTAAAATGCAGGAACTAACTGAAATTCTGAAGAAGTAACACCTGATAAGACTTCTAATAATGAAGACTGATTGTGAGTAGAATTAAAGAGCTAGTTAAGGTATGTAAATTTCATAATGTACTTTAGACTCCAAGAAATATTTCAATCCTTTTCCGGTGCTGCGCTTATGTTTCAAACTATATTTATTAACCACGTAAAAGTACAATGTTATTTTTTTTTCGCTATCATAAAAAAATGCTACAAATAAGCCTTCCAGTGATTTAGCGGAAAGTCTGAGAGCTCATACTAAATACTGGATTTCGACACTCCTCGTGGGCACAGCCCACCATTTGTAACTTTCTGCTTACAACAAACAAACCTATAGATAAATTCTACAAAATCGAGTAACTGTATTATTTTAAATATGTTAAGGGGTCATTCCCAATTCCCAACATGATCACAAACGTACAAAGATTCTGGATTCCTGCCTTTTCAAAACGAGTAATCCATATATTTCAGAGTGTAAAAGTAAAGTTTCCTCTGAATGCAGTTGTTTTTCGATTTTAGGCTTTTTTTTTATTATCCGAAGGTAATAACAGTCTCTGAAGCATGGATACGGCCTTGGCGGTGGTTTCTTTTGTTTTTGCCAATTTATAAGTTTAATATGTAATTCTTTACTTTTCCACATGCTGCTATAAAAAAGATTTCGCGCAAATTTAACATTATTTCGTGATAATAAATTGATTATATTCCTCTAACTACACACCATCTGTACTTTTTTAAACATTTTGCAGTCATCTTACTAAACAGATGTACCGTGACAGATTGCTTCTCAACAAACTGTAATGTATTGTATAAAAAATAGTATTGTTGAAAAACATCCCCATTTCCAAGCAGTTTGCGTTGTTGAATACAAGTTTGGGTATAAGAAACCACCATCACCCCCTCCCAACTCCCCCACACACATTTATATAAGAGTAATGAGGAAATAAATTAGTTTGAATCTGGATGTATTCAAAAAGTTTATGTTGATATGATAAAATATTTTTTGTCCAAAGAAGAAAAATCGTACGGACTCATTACCCCCTCTCCCCAGCGTACGCTCATACACTTATGTTGTTTGTTTTTAGAATTTTGCGCAAAGCTACACGAGGGCTATCTGCGCTAGCCGTCCCTAATTTAGCAGTGTAAGACC